GTTCATATTAGGCTAGCAATAACGTGTTTATAATTGCAATCGTATACGGGTATTCTGCTACCATACAATGTAACTTGCATGAATACATTGTTTTGCGCTAGCATACAGCTAGCCTCGTTAGCTACATGCAGTATATGTACGGTCACAATGTACGGTAAACCGGAGTATACTGTATGAGTATTCCGTGTGTGTGACTGCAGACATTCTCCTGCCATGACAAACATGTAAGGCCATCTGCTGACATTGTAGTTGATATATTTAAACGCTAGCAACGTAGCATCACAAAAATGTTTTTCTGACCAAAACTAGCTCAAGCTCCGTGTGTTAGATCGCTACGCCAGCTATAATGTAATTACGTTTCGCGACTGACCGGCAAATCACCCGCAGTATACTGTCAATAGGTATTTTGTGTGTGAATGCAGACATTCTCCTGCTATGAGATACATGTATGCAAGGCCATCTGCTGATATTAGAGTTGATATATGGAAACTCTAGCAACTTAGTTAGCACAGTTAGCACTGTGCCAATGGCTTAGCAGTCCAACACAGTTTACACATTTAAACAGTCTTGTTTGATAAATACACAAATAACAATGCAAACTTACAGGTTGTATACCCAGATCTTCCCCTGCTCCAAACGGTCCAAACAAGCTGTGCATATCCGGCCTCAAACTGGGCAATGTTTTGGAAGCTTTCGTCTGTGAAATGCCGGTTCTTCGAACCTCTGGAGGAGGAACACGCCGCTGCTGGTGTGGCCATAGCTCTTCGGGATTGGTCCATTTCGTTCCGGGTACCGCATGACATCAGGCGGTACCCGGAACTAAATGGAAGACTCAAATGGGCAGTGACGTATCTCCAACGAGGCGTTTTGGGGAGGTATTTTCTGTGTTAGAGTTTTACTCGCTACAGGGTGTACTTTGAGGGTTTTGACTCTGCACACCGTTTACATGCATAAAAACCTTCATAACACACAAGGGGACGGGTAATAACCGGAAAAGCATGACATGGGAGCTTTAACTGTTGGAAAAGAAAGATCAGAGTTAGGAGTGTGAACACACAGCTGAGAGCTGCCGTTTCATTCTGACTGTTTAAAAAACGGTAACAACGGACTATCTTTCTTAGCGGATGCATGTCAATTTAAATCAATACATAGAACTATGTTTTAAATCAATAAAAATATTTTCTAAATCCATAAAAGCATTTTAATTAATATTGGGAGTCATGTCGTTACTTTGTTGAGAATGTGGCCATGTAATAAGCGGGATAATTTGCAGCGACTTGGTCATTATGGGGAAAAATAACACCCAGGGATCAAGATCCCTCCGCGACGCGACGCGGAGGGATCAGTAATTTTTAGTGAATTACTGAGTTTAGGCACGTTAATAACATTTGAATGAAGTTGAATACAGTATATTCATATTTGTCAGTGATTTCATGTCAATTCGGCGAACATAAACGATTAAATTAGGATTAAAAATCGAGAGCCGGCTGCTGTTTGTTACGGCAACCCAACTAGGACACTTGACACAGTGGCTTTTGGCAAAGCACACAAAGAAAACAAAAAAAAACCGAGAGAGATGAGTTATTGTTATTACAACGTGACTTCACTATTATTTAACAACTATTTTTATTGGGTTCTTTTATTTGGGGTTAAGTACATTGTCAGAATAAGTGAGAAATGGATTTAACTTCTGTTAGACAGCTATCATACTGAATAAATATTTATGCAAAAATGTATGGCATTAATAATGTATATCTAATTACATTTAAAAATGTATGGCATTAATAATGTATATCTAATTACATTAACTGTGAATGTCTTTCATTTTATTTAAAATGAAATAAAATTACATAAAACATTTTCCATAAAAAGTTGATTCAAGAACAAATCAGTACTTTTCTTATATGACTATTATTGCTAAATTTGAAAGGTCTTTACCAGCTTTGGAATTATATATATATATATATATATAGCACCTTCTGCCATCCCATCTCTACTGACATATGGATCTTAACAAAGATCCGCTATACATTAGTACCAGATATACTGTACACGGACATTTTAGTGAACCAGACCAGCTGTTTCCGCCGGGTCTTCGCTTCCCGGGCATCACGTTGTTTACAAGTGTGTTCAGATGCTAAATAAAAGTTTAGCTTGTACTTTTGATACCCCGCCTCTCGGCACCACAACATCCAGTTTACTGTATTTCACATGAGCGATGTCGAACATTGAAAAGTCCTTATAAAATCTCTGTTATTAGATCAGTACTTTTCTTATATGACTATTATTGACTTGAACACTGAGAATGTATTTATTAACTTCAGACATTTGAAATATTTGAAATCAGATGAAAACAAACTGTAACGGAGCCTGCCGTGTTATCTATGATTACTATGCCTTACTGTACATTCATAATTTCAGCCGGAGGTAGGTGGTAGGCGTTGCGGAGGAGCAGATTGCGAGTGAGGTGCCTGTTCTAAACGAACTATTCCAGCTGTTATAAAGCATTAAATAAAAAGTAAGCAAGGAATACAGAATGTTTCGTTACGTAACTTTGTTGAGAATGTGGCCATGTACATGTAATACATGGGATCATTTGCAGCGACTTGGTCATTGTGGGGAAAAATAACACCCATCCTGATCGTTTCAATGAAGTTGAATACAGAATATTCATATTTGTCAGTGATTTCATGTCAATTCGGCGAACATAAACATCAATGATGATGATTAAATTAGGATTAAAAATCGGGAGAGCCGGCTCGTTCGTTTTTTCCGACTAAACAACATTATTTAAATGATTACATGTCTTATTTAGCACAGACTATGATCCTATCCGTGACATATGGATCTTAACAACAAAGAAGTTGATTTCACATGACTCCAGTGTGGAACCCCACTGCACCCCCTGGTGGATCAATGATCCATTGCAGCTGGCTTCACAATAATTAAATGTATTTATCACGGGGGCGGTATCAAGTCAGACTGGGGGCCGGCCGGCCATCACGGAACGTGCACGAACCGATCACGACCCTCGCATTTTAAACTGTCCAAAATAAGACGCTTCATCTGTATGGTGAGATCTCAGATTTGGCGTAGAGCTGTTGAGGCATGGACCGGTGATATACAAGTGAAGATTGGGGGACGATTGGACCGTGTCCATTGGACTTACAGCGACATCGTGTTTCATGGCGAGTGATCTGTCGCCATGGCAACGGCATTTGATGACACCCCATAATACGCTTAGTAGGAATGTGCATCTCCATCACTGAGACCGATGCGATGCGCATCTCGATACGTTGCCAACAATACGATACATTAACGACACATTTGAAACACCAGGCGATGCGATACGATACGATTCACCCCTGTTCCGATACAGTTCGATACAATTTGATTCAACATTATGCGATTCGGGGCGATATGATAGCGTTTCAACACGATGCAAAATAATGATACTTCAATATGGTACAACAGAGGATTTTTGTTTTATTCCTTATATGCAGCAAATCATAAATTAACAAAAAAGTGCTTTACATATTTGGTTCTTTCTACTAGTACTGCGCATCCCATCATGCTGTTTCTTTTTTTACCTTAAAACACTCTCCAGAGTACAGTACAATTGTATAACACCTCACAGTTAAACAATTTAAGGATGCATTGACCATGATTAACAATGTGCAAATAACAACTACCATAGTGCAATGCCCATACAACTGCCAGCCTGATGTGCTTAACACTCATTCATAGGCTAACTCACCAGTGAGCAGAAAGCAGTGGTGTGGTTTCTATATGAACAATAACAAATACAAATAACCTTTCACAAACAGGTATTTCATAACTGCTTACAATTGTAAGGAAGACATTTAAACTATTATTGGCAGTCACAGCTGTTGTAAACTAAACACCACTCTCACTGACAGAACACCTCACTGAGTGATTTAACCTTCACAAAAACTGCTATAAAATTATGATATATTAATATTTATTTCCACTTTAAAAGAGTAAATCTTTTAGAACTACTCCAGCCTGACATACACATATGAAATATGAATTATATTTTGGGGATTTTAACCCTTTAAATGCCAGTTTGTTGAAAAAACTCCACAGTTTTGTTATTGAAAAAAACAAAAAACTAGAATAATTTTCAAAAAGTACATTTCAAGGAATATTTGATTATTGTTATTATTAGGTCGCTAGATTGGTCAATGATTGGCAGCAACATTGATTTGAATGCATTGTTATATTTTTTGCAGTGTCAGGTTTAAACAAAAACTCACACTCGTGTTCCTAAGGCCAGAAATTGCCACCTTCACAAAAACTGCTATAAAAATATGATATATTCATATTTTTTCCCACTTTAAAAGAGTACATATTTTAGAACTACTCCAGCCTGACATACACATATGAAATATGAATTATATTTTGGGGATTTTAACCCTTTAAATGCCAGTTTGTTGATAAAACTCCACAGTTTTTTTATTGAAAAAAACAAAAAACTAGAATAATTTGAAAAAAATACATTTCAAGGAATATTTGATTATTGTTATTATTAGGTCCCTAGATTGGTCAATGATTGGCAGCAACATTGATTTGAATGCATTGTTATTTTTTTTGCAGTGTCAGGTTTAAACAAAAACTCACACTCGTGTTCCTAAGGCCAGAAATTGCCACCTTCACAAAAACTGCTATAAAAATATGATATATTCATATTTTTTCCCACTTTAAAAGAGTACATCTTTTATAACTACTCCAGCCTGACATACACATATGAAATATGAATTATATTTTGGGGATTTTAATCCTTTAAATGCCAGTTTGTTGAAAAAACTCCACAGTTTTTTTATTGAAAAAAACAAAAAACTAGAATAATTAAAAAAAAATACATTTCAAGGAATATTTGATTATTGTTATTATTAGGTCCCTAGATTGGTCAATGATTGGCAGCAACATTAATTTGAATGCATTGTTATTTTTTTTGCAGTGTTAGATTTAAACAAAAACTCACACTCGTGTTCCTAAGGCCATAAAATGCCACCCTCACAAAAACTGCCATAAAAATATGATATATTCCTATTTTTTTCCTAAATCTTTTAAAACTACTCCAGCCTGACTAAAATGAATAATACAAGATCATTTTGAACCATAAAAACATTTATTTTACAAAGATGAACATTGAATGAACACTGTGTCTGGCTGTGAGAGTTCAGCTCAGGTCGAGCAGAGGCTGCAAATGGACAGACTGTGGTCCTTGCATATGAATTTCCCACATTTGCAGCAGGTGCTGCAAACTCTTCTGTCCATGCAAAAGTTGCACTGCCTCCTGCTCTTCCGTTCACTGATGAGAGAGGGGCCTGCAGCAGCACCCTGCAGATCTGACACCATTGTTGCAGCGGCTGATGAGCGGGGAAGGCGCCCTCTCTTCTTGATGTGTGGGGTCACCAGCATTTCTCCCACCTCTTCAATGAAGAGCCTCCTCCTGTACGGTTTCTGCTGCTGCCAGGATGGCTCGATTGATGTCCACAGGACGTAGGCGTTGTAATGGGAAATGTCAACCAGGTTGTGGAAGAGGGCAAGTGGCCAGCGATTTGTTCTCCTCCTGCAGGAGTAGGTGGCAACAACCTAACAAAAACATAAAACAAGACAATTTGAATACATGATTCCAAGCATTTTCTCTCATGATGCAAATATTAATTATTTCATAGGAAAATGCTCATTTGAAAAAAACCTACATATATTTCAGACAAGAATATAAGAGTAAGAATACATGTGTGCGTAACTGATGCCTAATGGCACCTACCTTATCAAGGTTGTCGACACCTCCTTTGCATCGGTTGTAGTCTTTGATTATGACTGGCTTTCTCTTCATTTCGTCGCTTACGTCTGGACTGCGGTGTTTCGTGCTTAGAAGCAGCACATTCCTGCCCCGTCGAGGGATGTAAGAGACCAGTGTGTGGGTCTTCGTAAAGGCAAAGGTGGAGGAGAGGATCGCTCTCGCTCTTGCCTGGAGCAAAATAGGGGGAAGTTCAGGCTTGTTTCGGCGAATTGTGCCAACCAGGGCCAGTTTTCTCCTGAGCAGCTCCTCAGCCAGGGCGAAGGATGTGAAAAAATTGTCACAGGTAATGATGTGTCCCTGGAGCCCCTCTGTCATCTCCAGGACCACCCTCATCCCCTGGTTGACTTCAGGACGACTGCCAGCTGCTTTGCCTGTATACACCTGCAGTCTCCAGGCGTAGGATGATTTTACATCACAGTTTGCCCAAATCTTTATACCGTATTTGGCCGGCTTTTTTGGCATGTACTGCTTGAAGCTGCACCTGCCTCTGAATGGGACGAGCTGTTCATCCACGCAGACGTCGCTGAATGGGCTGAACAGCATCGGCAGGCGGTGCGTCCACATATCCCAGACTTTGCGGAAGGCAGCCAGTTTGTCATCACGGCGCCGCGGTCGGGATAGTTTGTCGTCGAACCGCAGTGTTCGGCTGATTTGGTGAAACCTCTTGTGGGACATCGTGGCTCGGAAAATGCTCCGTCCCGATTTCTCACTCCAGAGGCAGAGGGTCGATTCATTTTTTGACCTGTAAACACCGGCCAAAATGAGCAGCCCCACGTAAGCCTGCAGTTCCTCTGTGTCCATATCTCGCCACTCTGCAATTGACCGTCTCCCATGCAGGTTTGTCATCTGTCAGCAGCAGTGCAAAGCTGGATGCCGGGTCACTGATTCGGGCGACAGCATAGTGTGTTGGTCCCGGGATCAAACTTCTGGCTGCTGGGACGTAGCGGAGCGTCTCAGTGTTTGTGGGAGACCAAAACACTTTACCATTTTTTGAAGTCCATCCTGCAGCTGCTTCCTCCAATTCCCCTCCGCTCTCAGTTTCAGATGAGTCTGAGTTGGACTCTAGCTGGTCTGTTCCCACCTCTGAGGCGTCCTCCGTGGACTCTGAGGCCTCTTCTGTGTCAGCCTCAGAGTCCACGGAGGAGGATGAGGAGCCATCCTCGCAATCAGAGTGCATGATGATGTCCAGAGCTTCCTGTGTGCTGTAATGCCTTGCCATCTCCAAAAAGACTACTCCTGCACTAATAGTAATACTTATAACCATGGATGCAGTGCACCTGTATAAACAACCTGAGCGAGAACCAAAACAAAGTCCAATTTTGTTTTGGTTCTCGCAACTCATTGTTTTTATTATTGAATTAGATTATTACGCAGTGTGGCCTTCTAAGAGAAAAGTCTTTTGAAGTTTGACACACACACACACACACACACACACACACACACACACACACACACACACACACACACACACACACACACACACACACACACACACACACACACACACACACACACACACACACACACACACACCACACACACCACACACACACACCACACACACACACACACACACACACACACACACACACACACACCATTATCCAACATCAAAATCGACACACATATAATTTCAGTAGCAAGTGACCCTTGCAGAAAACAGTAAAAAGGGTGACATTTTGCTACAGGCTTCAAAGGGTTAAAATTATCGCCATCTTGTAGACAAATGTAAAAATTGAAAATTGAAAGCTAGAAGTCCAAAATGAAATCTTAACATAAAGGAAATCAAGAGTTTATGATAAGATAAATGTGGGGTCAAAAAAAGCATTTTCAATGGTTTTCAATGGGGCATTTTTTGCCGCTAGGAACAAATGTGTCGGTTTTTGTGTAGCTTAGCCATTTTAGGCTAATTTAAAAAACTGAGACGACAATTCAATATAAACTAAAAAAGAATATCCTCTGGCAAGTTTGAGCAATATTCATTCAACACAGCCAAAATGGCATGAACATGAAAACCTGAATGGCTGAAAAATGGCCCCAGGGACTCTTAAGGGTTAACTCATATGTCTAACTTTCAGGTTTCTCTTTTCAGCCGCAGACCCCATGTCGCCTCTTTATGTGCGTCGCTAAGTTCCTCGTACTACTTGTGTACTTTAAAGCGGCACGGCATCGTTTACAATTTACGATTTTTCAAGTTGACCGTCTTTCTTGAAAAATCCGAAGTGTTGCCAAACGTTTGATTTGTTGGTATTTTTCGGTGCGCTGTGTTTCTCTTTCTCCTCGACTTCCATGTGTGTTGATAACTGAGACTCTCGGCCTCCGTAGTGCGAAGCAAAGCTCAAAGATCGTCTCTGCGGAGTGCTGACAGGATGAGAGGATATTATATGAATGAATCGTTTTTTCGAGAAGGGGCTGCTGGCAACAGGTTTCAACAGAGAAACATGAAATGTCGGATGAAGCTTCATGTGTGGGGGAAGCTTGAGTTTTACTGCAGATGGGTTGATAACTGAGTCGATGATGAAGGGGCCGACATAACGTGGCGTGAGTTTCTTCGACTCTGTCTTGAGTGGGAGATCTTTGGAGGAAAGCCAAACACTCTGACCTGGTAAGTAGTTGGGAGCCGGGGTCCTGTGGCGGTCTGCGATGAGGCAGTTGCGGGCAGCGGAGCGGAGCAGGGCGGCTCGGGTGTCCCTCCACACCTTATGACAGCGACGAAGGTGGGTCTGAACGGAAGGAACAGCAACCTCCTCTTCCTGGGATGGAAACAGGGGTGGTTGGAAACCCATGGCACAATGAAAGGGTGAAATACCTGTGGCTGCATTTGACAGGGAGTTGTGGGCATATTCGATCCATGGCAGATGTGGGCACCATGACGAAGGGTTCCTGAAAGCCACACAGCGAAGAGCCGCCCCCAGATCCTGGTTGGCCCGTTCCGTTTGCCCGTTCGTCTGAGGATGATATCCAGATGACAGGCTCACTGATGCTCCCAGAGCCTGACAGAAGGCTTTCCAAACGTGGGAAATGAACTGGGGACCCCGGTCAGAGACGATGTCGGTGGGAATCCCATGGAGTCGAACAACATGATTGACCAGAAGATCTGCAGTCTCTCGGGCTGTGGGAAGCTTGGGAAGAGCAACAAAGTGTACCATCTTGGAAAATCTGTCCACAATAGTTAGGATGATGGTATTTCCTTGTGACAGTGGAAGTCCAGTGACAAAATCCAAGGCCACATGCGACCAAGGACGACTAGGTACCGGCAGCGGGCGAAGCAGGCCAGAGGGAGATTGGTGGGAGGACTTGGCGCGGGCACATACTCTACAGGCAGCAACAAAGGCCCTGGTGTCTTGAGCCATGGAAGGCCACCAGAACCGTTGTCTTAGAATAAACAGTGTGCGATGGACACCAGGATGACAGGAGAGACGGGAGGCGTGTGCCCACTGCAGGACCTTGGAGCGAACAGGGGTAGGCACAAAAAGACTATTAGCTGGGCAGTTACCTGGGTTAGGTTGCGCCCGCTGAGCCTCCTTAACCAATGACTCAATCTCCCAGGTAACAGCCGCCACCACGCAGGAGGCAGGCAGGATAGTGTCTGGATTGGCAGCTGGTCCTTCGGAAGCGAACTGGCGAGAGAGAGCGTCCGGCTTGAGGTTCCGTGACCCTGGACGGTAGGTAAGGGTGAATGAGAAGCGGCCGAAATACAGGGCCCATCGAGCCTGACGAGAGTTAAGGCGCTTGGCAGATTGGATGTACGCCAAGTTTTTGTGGTCTGTCCATACAATAAAAGGGAGCTCGGCTCCCTCCAGCCAGTGCCTCCACTCCTCTAGGGCAAGTTTGACAGCCAGCAGCTCTCTGTTACCCACGTCATAGTTCTTCTCAGCTGGAGTGAGGCGGCGAGAGAAAAATGCACAAGGATGTAATTTTTGGTCTCGTTCCGAGCGCTGGGAAAGAACTGCCCCTACCCCGGTGTTGGAGGCATCGACCTCCACCACGAACTGACGAGAGGAATCAGGGTGGATGAGCACAGGGGCAGTGGTGAAAAGTCTCCGCTGATATACCATTAGTAAATGGCTGAATGGGAATCAGGTGTGTAAAGCTGATTGCAGCAGGTGGAGATTTGCAGCAGGTGGAGATTGAGCCGGGAGCCAGGAGTGACAGCCACCACGCCCACACAGACAGGGAAAGGGAACACACACTCACAAGGGAGGTGGCTGAAGAGTAGAGCCACCACACTTAGTCTAAGCCCAATATATATTCCGAGTCTCCTTCCCCTGCTAAAACCCCATGTGCATTCCATGCACTTACGCTAAGCCCGATATATATTCCGAGTCTCCTTCCCCTGCTAAGACCCCATGTGCATTCCATGCATTTACTCTAAGCCCGATATATATTCTGAGTCTCCTTCCCCTGCTAAAACCTGAAGTAAGAAGATATGATTCTACACTGTATTGAAGTAAACATATATTGTTTGAACGGGTTTTGATAATCACTTAGAAAAAGAATGTTATTCTCACTTTTAAATTCACTGACTTAGAGATTCTGTGTTTCACACACCAACATTGATCCTTATCACCACTAAGAGCCAGATGCTGTTTCTAAGTCGTTAAAGACATCGTAAAATAGGAAAAGATCCCCTGGAAAAGGTAGGGAGGGGAGATCGGGACGGAGATAAGAATTGACTTTTGACCTAGTGTGGTTTGGGGTCTCACTCTGTTCGAAACTCTGATTGACCTCGGCCAGAAGCGAATCCAGCCAATCAGGACACTTGGAGGAGGTGGTCAGTTTAAACAGCTCCTCCCCAGGGCTTCTCTGATTCGCTTGGGAGAAAAGTGGGAAGGAAGAATCGACAAATCTCCGCCCCAAAGACAGATAGAAATACTGACGTTTGTGTGTGTAAAATTGCTTTTGGGTTTGGTGAGTGGCAGGTCCTGAGAACTGTGTCCGTATCGCATCACAAACCTGAAGTCCAATTTCTTTTTGGTTTGATGAGTTGGCGGGTCCTGACGCATTTGTCCGCATCGCATCACAAATCTAAAAGCCCGGGGTACCCGGAGTACTCTGTATAACTTGTATATGTGTTTGATTTCCTACCAGTAAACTCAGATAATTGTTGTAACTTTTGATTCCGGTGTTTTCAATTCCTTTCTTAATTTAATAGAGATCCAGCCTCATCCAACGAACGGCGCGTAGCAGAGGTATTCTACTCCTACAAGTGGTGACTCCCGACGTTTGTGAGCTGATCTCTAGAAAGGAACACCGACAGCCAGGGGACAGAATCCAGTCCAGGGGGAGGACACAGAGATACTGTTGACAACTGCAAGCGCGCTATAACACAAAAGGTGAGCAGACACCTGTTTTGAATATCAAAAATCTGTGATTGATTATACTAAAACTTTAGAGTTGTCAGCAGCGTTCTCAGTGTTTTTAGTCACGGTGGGAAATACAATACATATTCTAGTTAAATTAGATTATTAGTGCTTAGAGTCGGGTAGTTCAGTCCTTACCTAAGGCACAAAAGTGCTCATAAGAGGCGGGTATTCAGTCCCGTCCTATGACCCACTAACAACGAACGCTGTAACGCTGTAAAAGATGTATGGGGTAAATTCCCCGCAAGTCAAAATAACATTGATTAATGCGGTTAGCTTGCAGTGCGTCAATTAAAGACTGCAAAAGGTGTAAAAAAGGGTTGCATTCCCCGCAGATCATGATAAGATTGATTAATGCGGTTACCTTTCGTGGTGCTTTAAATGTATAAAATTTCTGTAATTGTTATATGGTGGGTGATAGAGGAGGAGAGAGACGCGACCTCCAACTAATTATTTGGAACGACCGTATCTCATCACAAAACTGTTGTGGGGATAATCAGGCTCATTAAACGTGACGATAAAGAGATTTTGTTGACTGAGTTTTTAACTCTTGACCTGAAGTCGCAATCACCGTGAGGAGATTGTAGAAGCCTACTTCTGGAAGTCACGCTATCTGTTGAAATAAACATCGCACAATAAAAATTTGCCTGAATGTGATATGATAAGGTATGAGAAGCTCTGTGTGATTTTTTAAAGTCAAATCTGTGTAATACTTGAGAGACAGAGAGCAACGAGAAGGTGGTATAATGTCTGAGACCCTACCTCCACCCTAAGGAGATAAGGGCTCACAAATGCCACTTATGAGTATCCCATCTAATACTCCTAAAGGAAAACACATTGTTAGACCTGATATTCAGGGATAAGGAATGTTGGAAATAGTAATGGAAGATATTGAAAATCTTAAACTGGATCAACCAACCATGTTAGTGAACCCTGCTAATATGGAGCTAATACATGTAGAAAGACTAGCAGCAGCTCTGGCAAAGACAATAGGTCCTAGCATGCAAGCACAGAGCGGTAATATGATAAGGGCTATTAAACTGACCCTTTTTGGGAATGGGATTTTCCGTTACATAACGGAAGACTCGATTCAGGCCTTAAAGAACGCTTTACAAACAAGTCAGGGAGTGTTAAATGTGGAGCTATGTTGCTCAAAAGGGAACTTACACTTTTGGGAAGAGATCTCCCTTTCTCTGTCGTGAGGTGCTGCTGACTCAAAGCAGCATACAGGGTCAAAGACAGGCGTGACCTCTGGAGAGGAAGAAAATCTAAATCTGAACAGACCACAGAGCCCATTAAAAGGTTTTATGGCCTCTACACTGAGAGGAAGATCTGGAGATTGTAAGGAACTCTCCCTGAATATCCACCCCCACACCATTGAGGGGAAGAGTGTTCCTTTCACCAATAAACAAATCATCTCTTAACCAAGTCAGATTTCAAAATAGCCATACCTCAAGTTGTTAAGAAAAGAGGGAGATTCAAAAAGTTATCAATAATTGCCCAGTATATTAAATAAATACAAACAGACACGTATCAATATAAGTCAGATAATATAGACGAGGTCAATCATGGAAGAAGGCTGACATTTCATGCCTGATATATAAGTAATAGTAATAATAAATATATAGCTGATATTAAATAACTGATGTATAAGGCTCGATATTTCTGAAAATGGGAACACCGTTAACGGCGTTCTATTTCAGTAAAAGGGGGAAAAGGATAGGATATACATCAGACAATATGTATGTGACATTATTACATTTTTAGGAGAAATTTATCAATTTAAAATACTAGTTATGGTATTTTTTGTTTTGTTTTATTTGTTGCTTTTAAGAGAAATTGATACAGTTAAAATAATCTAGCTTTGGTTATTTTTTGTTTTGTTAGTTTGTTCCTTTTTTGTTTTATTTTTATTTTTGTTCTATTTTTTATTTTTATTTTTATTTTTATTTTTGATTTTTATTTTTTATTTTTATTTTTTGAGATGATTTCAAAACCATATACAAAAGCAACTTAAGGGCTTGGTATGAGACTTCTCCACACAGGCTGCTGACGTTAAAAGGGGGACCCGAGAAACACAAGGCCAACACAGCAGATTACGTCTGGTTGGAGGGGACCTCCCATGCCGTCCGCTCAGATGGAAAGGGAGACAACTGGTACCACTGGAGCCAGTGTGTGGTCGGGAAAAACACCTGCGAGGACCCTGGACGACATCAGGACAGAGTTGGCCCTCGTCGCGAGGACCCTGGACGACATCAGAACAGATCTGGCTCTCGTCAAGGCAGTCGACCCAGGAGGCGCCATCAGCGGGCCGGAGGAGGAGGATCAGGACATCTCTCCAGCAGTCGACCCAGGAGGCGCCATCAGCGGGCCGGAGGAGGAGGATCAGGACATCTCTCCAGCAGTCGACCCAGGAGGCGCCATCAGCAGTCCGGAGGAGGAGGATCGGGAGGACATCTCTCCAACAGTCGACCCGGAAGCCGCCATCAGCGGGCCGGGGGAGGACAATCAGGCCACATCTCTCTAGCAAGCACCCCAGAAGCCGCCGTCAGCGGGCTGGGGGGACGAAGATATGGCAAACCAAGACGGCACAGGGAACTCCATTTCCCGCTGAAACAGGTTGATATAGCCGGTGTGGAACTTTGTCTGAACAATCCATTTTTTTTTTGAGGAACTTTCAACTTTATTTTTATATCCCATAATGTAAGGGATTTGTATTTTTTTATTCTACAGAACTATGTGTTACCAAAAGAGGGAAAAGTATGATAATGTCTTTTCTGATTTCTGTGGCTACTTTTATTGCCATTTTGGTGACATGTGGTTGTTGTTGTGTGCCTTGTATCTGCTCACTGTGTGTTAGACTCATCAGTTCCACCATTGAGGGAAGAGTAAAGATGACTCAGCTGACAAGGACTTTGCTTTTTAGACATATTTTATTCTCCCTCCACTGTCATAATAAGTTGTTGTTGTGGACTGTTCCTAAAGGTTTAAAGTGCTCTATATCCCAACTTCTGATGGGTTTATATAAATGTTGGGACAGACACAGTAAGAAGAAAATTGACAGTGGTAATGTTTCAAATGCTATATGTTGATCTCGTGAGGTGAGATCAAAAGAGGGATTGAAGTAAGAAGATATGATTCTACACTGTATTGAAGTAAACATATATTGTTTGAACGGGTTTTGATAATCACTTAGAAAAAGAATGTTATTCTCACTTTTAAATTCACTGACTTAGAGATTCTGTGTTTCACACACCAACATTGATCCTTATCACCACTAAGAGCCAGATGCTGTTTCTAAGTCGTTAAAGACATCGTAAAATAGGAAAAGATCCCCTGGAAAAGGTAGGGAGGGGAGATCGGGACGGAGATAAGAATTGACTTTTGACCTAGTGTGGTTTGGGGTCTCACTCTGTTCGAAACTCTGATTGACCTCGGCCAGAAGCGAATCCAGCCAATCAGGACACTTGGAGGAGGTGGTCAGTTTAAACAGCTCCTCCCCAGGGCTTCTCTGATTCGCTTGGGAGAAAAGTGGGAAGGAAGAATCGACAAATCTCCGCCCCAAAGACAGATAGAAATACTGACGTTTGTGTGTGTAAAATTGCTTTTGGGTTTGGTGAGTGGCAGGTCCTGAGAACTGTGTCCGTATCGCATCACAAACCTGAAGTCCAATTTCTTTTTGGTTTGATGAGTTG